CCAATGTCTCGTGTTCTCCGTTTCTATTTATACCCACTCTGTGAATTGTTTCTGCTTAGTTCATTTATGCAGTACAGTGGATGAAATGAACGTAGGAATAATTTATCGTCGCTGAAAGAAAAGTATTTCCTATCGATATTTATAAAAAAAAAAAAAATTATTCTTACCGTCGTTAGGATGTATTCTATTCGCAGAGGTTTCCGAGGGTAAAAATTATAATTATAATTACCCGTTAGCGAAACAGCGAGCAATTAATCGGTGAACTTTCCGCCCGTTTTTGTCGCTGATTATTCAATTAGTCGTACGGTTCGTTGGTACGCGGATCCGTATATTTTCGAGACGCGAATTTAATCACGTTTCATAACTATGATCGGCGAAACGGAATTACACGAAGCTTTCGCGCGGCCAAAGTCGATAAGCCGATTCGAATTTTCGCTTCATCGGTTCCCGTTTGCGGTGAAACTTTGATTCGAACCTGGATACGGAATTATAAACGGTTGATGTATTTAATACGAGTTTGTTCACGGTAACATAATTTGGGCTTGAATGTTTCCAAATATATATTATTAGTGGGTTAAAAGGTCTCGAAAAAAATGATGTAATAATTTATATTGTGCGTATCGCGTGTAAAAAGAATTTTAGAAAAGGATTGAATATTGTCGAATATACATGGTGTTCGGCCACCCCTGGGAAAAACGTTATATATATTATTATAAAAAAGTTATTAACAATTAAATTCAAAAATTTCAAATCGCTCTGGAAAAATTATATTCAGCTGTGGGAGTCAATTACAATCATTTTTGGTCATTAGACATACCCCCGAAATCTTGCGCATTTTCAAGAAAAAAATTCGAGAAGGTGTGAAATTTTTCGACAAAATTAAAAAATTTCAAATCGTTCTGGAAAAATTATATTCTGTTGTGGAGGTCAATTACAATCATTTTTGGTCATTAGACATACTCTCGAAATCTTGCGCATTTTCAAGAAAAAAATTCGAGAAGGTGTGAAGTTTTTCGACAAAACTAAAAAATTTCAAATCGTTCTGGAAAAATTATTTTTACCTAGAGGGGTTAATTACAATCATTTTTGGTGAATAGACATATCCCCGAAATCTTGCACATTTTCAAGAAAAAAATTCGAGAAGATGTGAAATTTTTCGACAAAATTCAAAAATTTCAAATCGTTCTGGAAAAATTATTTTCGTTTGCAGGGGTCAATTGCAATCATTTTTGGTGAATAGGCATACCCTCGAAATCTTGGGCATTTTCGAGAAAAAAATTCCTTACCGAAAATATAATTTCTGGCCAGAAATGTTACCCCAAAATGTCATGCAAATCTTTAAAACGTCATAACTCCTGAACGGATTGGACGATTTTAATGTTTCAAAATGCAAACTACGCGTATTTTAGTGGAGAATATGTAGAAGTTGCAAAAATATTCGAGAACTTGTTCCTTGACCCCACAAAATAAGAAAAATCCTATAAAAAAAGGTCCAATTTTCAAACGGTCACAACTCCTACAATAGTGAATATATTTCAATGAAACTTTTTTCTGAAGTAGAGCTCATGGATACCTACAAAAAAGTATTAGACAACTTTTCTGCAGAGCATCAAACAAAATTATTAAAAATGAAAAACAAATTATTAAGAAAAATCGACAGGGGGTAGGTGCTGAAATTTTTCGGCGAAAAAAAAAATTTCAAATCGTTTTGGAAAAATTATTTTCCGTTGCGGGGGTCAATTTCAATCATTTTTGGTCATCAGTCATACCCCCGAAATCTTGCGCATTTTCATGAAAAAAATTCGTGAAGGTGTGAAGTTTTTCGGCGAAAAAAAAAAATTTCAAATCGTTTTGGAAAAATTATTTTCAGTTGCGGTGGTCAATTTCAATAATTTTTGGTCATTAGACATGCCCTCGAAATCTTGCGCATTTTCAAGAAAAAAATTCGAGTAGGTGGTAAAATTTTCGGCGAAATTAAAAAATTTCAAATCTTTCTAAAAAAATTACTGTTACCTAGAGGGGTTAATTACAATCATTTTTGGTGAATAGACATACCCCCGAAATCCTGCGCATTTTCGAGAAAAAAATTCAGCACGGTCGAAACTTTAAACGTTAATAACTTTTTAACAAAACCTCCATCAACAAATTGGTATTCTTGATTTTCGTCTCATTTTGGCTTCTAGAATCTCTCATTAAAATTTCTCCCAGGGGTAATCGTACACTCTGTATATTATTAGTACATTAAAAGGTTGTAAACGCGTTCACTGTATATTATTAGTACATTAAAAGGTTGTAAACGCGTTCACTGTCTCGGTCTCTTAGCGGCGTATCCAAAAGCATGGCGCTGTGGCCCGTATATGGGCCACGGACAGTGAACGTGTTAATAAATGAAACAATTCATATTGAATATAGTAAAAAAAATTTTTTCAAATTATTCAGAGCCTCCATAAATAATATCCAAGTATTCCCACCCTGGAGATTTGTCGATTCCAATAACAGATTCATTTTAGGGGAATAACATTCTCTTTCCCACGAACGAAATTCTATGTTAAAATATTCATAGAAGAGTTTGAAGAAATTGTATTCTATACCAATTGCTTAGAGAGTAAAATTTTCATAAAAATTGCATCGATATCGCTGTAAAATTATGATAATGTACAACTGTTGCTCGAATAGTCCGACGCATCCAAATTCATCGTTCCGCGGTGATATTTCCGTGAACGTTTTCATCGGGGGAATCAATTGGAGCCGCTGGCAGGCCTCACATGACGTAAATACAACGCGCATAACATGATCGTGCGTGTGAGTGACATAACGCCGCGGTACGTTGTTATCAGGACGGGGAACGCAGTTATGTCAGACCCAGAGGACGCGTCTTATTTAGGAAACCGCGATGCTCCGGTTGATATATCGACCATCCTCCGAGCAATCCCGTGGAAATTGTTGTTTCGATGAGAAAACAGAATTTTACAGCGATACATCTAATTAAAATCGCGCTAATTTTCAGCGACCACACAGCTACGAAACAAAAGATGTCCACTGTCATCTGAACAATTCATTCTGGTGATATTCCATTATTTTTTTTTTTATTTGTCGAGTCTATAGGTTTTTCTTTATATTATTGTAGGATTTAACGAACAGGATTTATTTGAGGAACAGATGTACAAATCATATAATTATAATAAAGAAATTTGGAACACACAAATTAAAATCACATTAATTAACAACACAAATTAAAATCACGTCCGTCTTTCACAATCTGTCTCGCTGTCCCTAGTAACCCGTTCTTTCTTCAACAAAACACTTTCAACCCTTTTGCACATAAATTAACACTGAACAAAACTACAGCGTAATATTCAATACAAATCTCCTACATTATTATGATTTTTTAGCTCGTGCAATCAAAGTATTAAAGAATACAGGCGGCCATCTTGGAACCTTCCAAACGAGTCAATTTACAGAAATAACAGAGAAGAATTTTTTCTATCTTCTACGGACTTTCAGGCCTAAACATTTAATTCTAGCAATATTTAATTATTTTTTTTTATTTATAATCGCAATGTTAGATATTTTTTTCGTCCGTACAATCTCGTAATATTTATACGTTACTTCGAGATGAAAGTTCAGCGAGTAAATAGGTTTCACGGTGCTCTCGAAAGAGCCATAGCCATAAAAGGGAGAATTTTTATTATTGGGATGTTTTCCCCTCTTCCTGAATAATATCACCGTAAAGAAAAAGGTTCCTTCGTGCAAGAATTTCCCGAGTCGCAAAAATGTCTACGCTACGAGCAAGGGTTGGTAAAATTGCAGGTTCTATAAATAGGGCCGCGATGACTATGTTTCCGCGCGCAGTCGGTACGAAGGACAGATCCGTCTGATGTAGGCTCGTGAATAATTTAGGGCGACGTCGGTAATTTCAGATGGAAAGATAACGGTTGAAATTTGTCTTCGATGCTCGAGAGTATCGATCTGATCGTCATTGTTGGGAACGGGGGGGGGCCGAGACGCGTTTAGATTTTATCGAAACAGCGACATCGAAGATGGATCGCCCGGGGTTCGAGATTCGTTGTGACGGGGCGACCATTGTATCGATACCTATCAATCACGTCGTGTTTTGTAACTGTTTACAATTCGTATCGCAAGGTGGAACGAGCTACTGTATGGCTGGCAACGACAACTGTTCGATAGTAAATATTTCAGTCTCATATTTGTCCGAAAAAGCGTCGCGAGCGATAAATTTGTTGTGAAAAATATTTATTGCAAGCTCTTTTGAAAAATAAAATGAAACTGAATTTTATTTGTTGTATCGAAACGACAAGACTGTTGGCGTCTCAGATCATTGTAGTAGTATCCTACTGATATAGTGTTTTAATACTTAAATTTAATTTTCATTACTGTATAGTTTTGCCATCTAAAATTCCATTAAATTCTCTGGAATGAAATTACACTTTTAGGGGTGGGGAAATTTAATTCGAAATATTCTGTTTGCAAAGATGTTGAAGATTATTCTAGAGGGTTGAAACGTAATATCTTACTGATATGATACCAGTTTCAGTATTTAAATTTCATTCTCGTTATTCTATAGTTTCACTATCTAAAACCCTATGAAACATAAGTTTATTACAGTAGTACCCTACTGATATACCAGTTTTAATATCTAAATTTAATTTTCATTACTGTATGGTTTTGATATCTAAAATTCTATGAAATTCTCTAGAATGAAATTCCAAATTTATTCTGTTTGCAAAGAAATTGAAAATTATTCTATGGGCGAGGGTTGACACTTGAAACGTGGTAAGCTGGTAAAAATTCCGTGTTAAATTTGCACCGGCATTTGGAGGGTTTAGAATAAAAAATTAGGTACGATAGGTGTTAGAGGCCTTTTTTTAAATTTGTACTCCAATTCTTGGATTTTAGAAATGTTTAGCCTCGTGTAGCTTGTTTAAATTCGTCGTGTCTCGTTTTGAGGATGTAAATGAAGGGTGGATGTCGTTCGATAGAAGCCACTGAGAGAGCTCGGCAGATTGTGCCTCGGTACGGGCGAGCAGAGCAACGTCGTCACCGCGGAAGTTTGTCCAGAAACACGGGGCGGGCTTCCCCTGTTGCAAGTATGGCCGAGCGACTCGCCGAGAGGCGAGGCGGACGGACAGGCGCAGGCATTCGTGTTCCCAGACGTCCAGGAGAACGTCAACGACAGCGGCATCGACTCCATCCAGGTACCCTTTGCGAGGAATATACCCGTAGTTTCCCAAAAATCCCGATCAACGATTCCCAAACATCAATGGATCATCGCAGAATCCAATAAACATGGAATTAAACACGTTCACTGCCAGATAAAACCCCTATAATACTCTGCAAGTCTTACATTTTAATTCTAGACCATTGTATACTACATAAAGTTTATTTTATTTATTTTTTAAGCTTGCAAAAATCCACAAATCTTAGTCAAATTTATTTCCCTCGACGTCTCCGCTTGAGAATTAATTTTTCTAGTTCCATAATGGTAGATCTTGTCACCCATAGATGGCATGGTAATCAAAGTATTAAAGAATTGAGGCGGCCATTTTGGAACCTTCGAAATTATGTACTTGTTCGAAATCGTTTAATTTTCCATCTATCGAGTTTCACCGTTATTGTTCACCCCTGAAAAATTGCATGGAACACACATTTATTTATTTATTTAGCTTCTCGAAGACTCAAATTTTTACGAGCATTTTCCCGTTTCGCGATTTATAGAATTTGAAAACAGATTTCTCGATATTTCTCCTGTACGGTAGTATTGTGGGGAAGGTATATGTCACAGACACGGACGATTTGTTTCTAAAGGCATCGCCGTCGCCTTGCGGCGCAGCGAGCACCAGCCCCGCCGCGACGCCGCAGCAATCGCGACGCGCCAGTCTGCTCCATCCGGACCACGCTCGGCTGCAGCTGCACCATTTGCATCACAATCACCACAATTCCGGGTCTAAGAACCCGCCGACCCCGGACAGGGCGTCCATCGACGAGGAGCCACCCCCATTGCCGCCGAGTCCCTCCAGCTCGACCACCAGCAGTCTGCGATCCATGCCCAGCTCCGCCGTCGCCTCGATGCACTCGCAAGACAGGAGACGCAGCAGCAGGTATACAAATGTTCGTTCTAATCGAACAATCCCGAAAAATCCTCCCCCATTCGCCATTTTATCCCATCTCTGTTCTCCTATTTCTTAGGAATTTCTATACTACAGTTTCTTCCACTCGAATTACGGTGCACTATAATATGGTGTGATTCCCTTAATTTTCTTATTTAATTTTTGTTCTATTTATTTAGTACCAAATTCTTGTTGTTTTATACTGTGTTTAACTTCTCTATATACTTACAAAGTACCTTTTTTTTTAGTAGCAATGGTCAAAGTAATCCAATAATACGCGTGTTTGTATATTACCAGTTTCCTCCACTTGTACTCTTGCACTATAATATGATGATTCCCTTAACTTTCTCTTATTAATTTGTTCTATTTATTTAGAGAACCAAATTGTTGTTATTTATAACTGTGTTTACTTCTCTATACTCACAAAGTACTTTTTTTTTAGTAGTAATGGTCAAATCCAATAATACGTGTTTTTTTTTTTCGAGCGGTCACCCATCCTGAACTGCACCGCGACTCAATGATGCTGCACTTGGGTGATCGGGCGCCACCCAGTCTGTCCAGCGTTCCCATAATTGCTGACAAATTTTACATATAATTTATGCCCTTAAATATCTCGACGCATGATAAATTTTCTTTTCTATAGTGAATTACCATAATAGTGTACAATCGTTAATAGTTGATAGTACCAGATTTTGGTCTACACGGTTTGAAAAACGCCAGGGAAGTTTATTTTTTCTTAGAAATTGTACCTGAGCGTCGATTGACCCAAATAGCGATTTAATGGCAACAGGAAGCCACGCCAAGGTATTTTTTACTTCGCCGCGAAGCCAAGATCAAGAAAAATAGTATTACTTCTCAGGTTCATCAAGATAGCCCGTCCCACCCTGTTCGAGTCAATTTACATAGTATATTTACGGCTACGCCTGACATTTCCCTGTAAATATAGTGACAGACGGGAAAGGGCACCCCGGGTAGCTTAATCTTCTATCAACATCAATAATGAACCTGCTGTACTACAAACGTACTACGAGGAATGAATTATTGGATCAGTTATAGGTCAGTAAAGGTTCCACGTGAGTTAGCAAGCCATCATATAAATATCACGGGATACGTTTCGCTGATTCTATCAATATTCCTCGATAGCTAGCTGGATAATGCGCCTTGAGGGGAAAAATTCAAACCTTGAACCACGCGACCACGTGTAATTCAGAAAACTAGATCCACACGACGAGCACAGTGTTTGTCTAATTTTATCGTTGCCTGGTCGTCCTCCATTCATCGACCAAGTGATCGATATTAGTACACCGTATCGACTCATTCATCGTGGTATTAATAAAGAACGTTAGCGAAAGCCAGCTTCGTAGAATGGTGAGAAATAAGGATTACTATTTTCATAGCTGCTGTGATTTGAGTCAAAGGGATGGAAACAAATTTACATTTATTATAAACATTATTTGTTTGAATAATTCTTCTGTCAAGACAACTGTTCCAATAGTAACCGTTTAATGACGAAAATATTAAGCAAGAAAGGGGGCGTTGAAATCGAATTGTAAGGCAGTCAAAGAAAGGGTTTGTGGATGAATGAATAACGATGTCAAGTATGACGTGAAAGGAACATACTGACTGTTCTTTTAATCCTGTATAGGTTAGCCAGTTTCCGTGTGTGAATATTGCTTTTGTTTATTTGCTGTGTGGATGTTGGTTTTGTTTCACTGACTAATTGTTCGCGATTCTATATTTGCGCAGCGAGCGCGACGGTAGTTTCCATTCGACTTTTTTTTGGTTCCCCGCTGTTACACAGCGTGACAAATAGTGAAACAATTGAAATACAATATTAAAATCATCATAAAATTGTTTAAGTTATGCAGAAACTAATATCAATGAAAGTTAAAGCTTTGTTTATTCTTGAAATAATAATAGCTAGCAGTAGGCCACGTGTAACCCTTTTTTCCTCAGAAATCGATCCCCCTTCTAACTGCCCTGTGTAATAACAACACAGTTCCATTAAAAAGAGTCGGAGATCTTGATAAAACTGTAAAAAGGAAGGTAGCAATAAAGCCATTCATAAATTACGTTTCCCTCGTGATACGGCTTTCGTGTTAAAGAGATTTCACGCACAATGGTCGATTCCAGAGCCACTCGAGGCCGATAAACCGGAAGGAATGGCTATTTATAAATTCTATAGGGCCCCGTCGAAGGTTTGAGAATTACAATCGAGATGCTCGATTAAGTTCTTTTGTCATTCGCGGTGTCGAGGTCTCGTGGAAAAAATGAGAAACAGAATGGTGGACTCGTAGGTCGACGAGAAGTCCCTGAACGTCTCTGTTCCCGATCCGTGAAATCACGGGACAGGGAAAGTGGAGCTAGAAATAATCCCTCGGGCTGACACGTTCTGACGTCGATCTTGGCTCGTGTCAAGGCACGACCCTGGCACCGTGCAAATACGACGACCCGAGCACGTGGACTCAGCCCCCTTTCGTTATGAAACACGCATCTCACTTTTTTCCCGGTGCATCGTTTCGTTTCAAAAAAAAAAATTAAAGTCACAGAATAATAGACGCCATCGTACCATTGAACTTTTCCCTTTGCAGTTTTTTTCTATATGTTACCGAGTTCGAGATATCACCTTGTATATCCCAGCGACATTAATCATGGCTGACAGTCCGAACGGTTCGGGCCTTCCCGGTTTCCCCCCACCACGCGAGAACCGGAAGTCGTTTTCGCTACCTCGGTGGCCATGTCCTCCGTCGCGTTACGATGCTTCAAGGGTGGAACCTTCACCCAGACACTGAATCGATCCGACGTAGAACACGATTTCAGTTTCATTCGACAGGATTTACAGTGGCACGAAACACCACTGGATATTTCAAAATTCGAACGTCCCCAATGTTTCGACTCAAGATCACGTGGATTTCGTAAAGGTTTCCATGTTATTTATACTTTTAACGACCAATTTTGCTAAGAGTTTCTACGATTTTTCGATGCATGCATCTACTCGTGCTGGTAACACGTTATAATGTAATTTGAGCGAGTAGGTACAGCATGATTAGGAATCGATTGACTTGAACCCCTCGCGATTTGCCTTGGATTAATGTCTTGGAGCTCGTTGGATTACTGGATTTATTCATAAGATTCCGTTTGACACAAAGAGCATATTACTGCTAGTTTGGACCCTTCGATATTTAGATACCCTGACTAGGATTCAATTGTCCCGATAATTCGATGGAAAAATGTCAACAGTTGTCATTTAGTAGAGTTAATAGACGACCATGTGGGACTATCAAATTTTCCGTATTTTTAGCAAAGAATAACGTTTCTTTTCATCTCCAAAGGAATCTAAGTTATTCCAGATGCTCCTCTTTCTGTAACTTGTATGTTCTAGTATGACTGACTGTTTCCATATGTTTTGAGTGTACCTTGAGCATCTCGTGGGACTTACTTCCTGGTTAACGTTCAACTTCTCTGATAGCCTCGCACAAGGATTGTGAATTCATATAATTGCCTTCGAGATACACTAATTTCGTGTGCACAAGTTTGACAACAAAAGATATCTCTATTTGAGCCCAACACAGATAGCTGTTAAAAGTTCCCAAAGTTCAGCAATCAAGCATTTTTAGGACCACAATCAGGTACTTTCGCGACCAAAACCATTCCCATAAACCTACAGTTCCTCGACAGCTGCACATCACGTGCTAATAAGTACCCCAATAAACATTACCTGCCAGTTAAACGACCAAAATTCCCCCAAAATGTTCAAACATTTAAGCCACGCCTCAAAATCATTCCTGATCCACCCTCGTCACAACCGACCAATAAGACTTCATCCATCTCACCCTTTCCACAAAATAACAACAACCAATCGTAATCTTTACCAAACCGAGAAGCGTGCAAACTCAACTCCGTCAAGTCAGAGTAGATTCTAAGAGTCTCGTCAGCTACCAGCTTGATTTCTTGCAAATAAATGTGTTAACGAACATTACATTGTCTATGCTTCTCTGAGCAACCCCTAACTACTCACACAAATTTAAGTAGGCGTGTGAGGTACGCGTCCAAGAAGGCAATCAAAACAATCTCGTATCATTTCTGTTTGAGACGATAGGTTCTGCTTCATTCTCAGATTTAACCCAACCGAACGCTTGCAATGAATTCCACGTGACCCCAGTTTGTTATTTTTGTATTCAAACATCGTCAAACACGTTCAAACCTTACCATTCGTCCCACTTTACGACCCCATACAAAGTAAAGGGCACATTTGATCAACAGGTACAGCATGTTCGACGCCCTGGACCTGGAGTACTCGCTGCTGAGGGCAGCAGCCCGTGGCTCCGTAGGCCCGTACTCCCTCTCGGAGTCCCTGCACAAGCTGACCTTCACCCAGAGCCTCGCGTTCCCCGCGCTGGCTCGGGGCTTGGCCTCGAAACAGAGCATCCCCACCAGGAGGCCTCAACAGCACACGGAAAGCGGATTGAACGCGTTCGCCAAGGTGGTCACCGCGTTGGTACTGGTTCTGGTCAGCGTGCTGGTCTTCGGTGTTGTGTACAAGTTCGTGAGGACGTGAGGATGGCTGCTGGTGCCCGATCGACAGCCCCCCTCGTCGCAGGAGTTCGGTCGATCGGGCGCTGGCGGTCCTCTCGACGATTGACTTTCCCGATCGATCGCCCCCCGACACTCTGTCTCGGCGACGTGGACCGGTTCGCGGAGGTTCGAACAAGTTTTGAACACGTTTCAGAGTGTTTGATGAGGTTTGAGGATGTTTGAACAAGTTTGAACAAGTTTGAACGAACTTCCAGCGCCGAGAATCGGCTGTTCTGTCTGCTTTGGTCGAGTGATGGTTTTCGAGGTTGTTCGATGTAGTTTCAACGTGTTTGACGGAGTTTGAGGAATGGGTGTGGACCAGATCGAGCATACTCGTGGAAGTTGAAAGTCGAGAGATGTTTGCAGAGACGAAAAATGACTGAACTTTGAAAGGGCAATCAAGTTTGGAGGTGTTTGATGCGGACAAGGATAGTTTGAATAACCCGATCGATTTCCTTTTTTCCTCTCAGCTTGCGTTGCTTTGGATTAGATTATTTCCAACTAGAAACTGTTCCAATCGTTTGTTTTATTTTAATTTTGAAGAAGTTTGAGAGTTGATTTTCACTGGTTGACTTATCATTGTATTTTCTAAGTTTTTTTTTTAATGTCGCGATACCAAAACATGCAATAATGTTCGAAGGGGTTTTGAACTTGTGAAAAGATTCCGCGAAAGTGGTTTATCGTCGAGGAATCGTACATTTGAAAATTTTAATCGAATAAGGGAGAAATTTACCTCTGATGCGAGGATCGAAACCTAAAGGGTCGAAAGAACGAAAGTAACGCGTAGTTAAAAATAGGATGAAACGAACGAGCTTCGACAGAATGCAATAAACCGTGAATGCAGATTGTTTAGATCGCGTAAATATATTCGGAGTGCATGCAATGCACGAATTCGACCGAAATATGGAATTTTGATACGGTGCTGAATATTTAACCACAGCGTTAACGAGCGGCTTTTTTTTTTACTGTAAAAACAGTGGGCTGCGGACGACTATTAAAAATTGATCGTTAATGCAGCGTTTTCGTGCGGACGAACCGAACGCGAAATACAAATCAAACGATTCGATAATTCATGAGAATCGGATCAAAAATTACCAGTAATAAACAAAGTTATCTTCGACGCTATATCATTGCGCTTGAAATTTATAAATAACTTGACCAACATGTTCGTTGAAACAATATACGAGACGTGCAATCTTCTGAGCCTCGAAATCATTTTCAGAATTTCGTCCGCGTGAAAATAATACAAACTAGATATGTAATGTAGGGAGAACGAAAAACGGGTCCTGGGTCAAGTAACTCCTTCCAAGGCTCGTCTTTCGTTCTTCCGCGTATAGGATGGTCGATTAGAATCAGGCGATGTTAATGCCCTCGTTATTTTAAGCAAATCGCTATTTGTATCTGAGATTTCTAATTCTTGTCTAACAATCTTATCGACTTTTATTATTATTATTTAATAATTTAACTCTTTGACTGCCACGTCATCCATATGTGGGTGACAGAACTTTTAACAGTGGAGCTAAAACAATTAATTCTCAAGTTGAAATGTTAAAGAAAATAAAATTTTAAATAGGTTACGAAAGTAACTATTAGGACAACTTTTAAGTTGCGAGGTTGGAATTGACTAAAATCAAAGTTTTGGCCTTGCAAACAATTTTAGGATTTCAGACTGGCAGTGAACGTGTTATTAATTGGATAAATGCCACACATATTAAACTAGAAGAAAATAATGCTTTATTTTACGCATTCGGATTACTCTGCTTTCTTTTATTTAAAAAACGAGGACATTGAACTGGCTCGTTTCTAACGGATCACCCTGTATACACGAACGTGCACAAGCGCGCACAGTTAGGTAAAAATCCGTGACTATTGAAGTGCTTTACACGATTTTCTCTCGACGACAATCGCTCCCAACATTTAGACCGTAATTTTAAGCGACGCGCGAAATGTCTCACGCTCGATAATCTACGGCGCAGGCGCGATCGTTGGATCGTTAAAATCTTCTTCCCGCTTCGCGGCAAACCTAACGTTTAAGGCAGTGCTTTTCGCCGTTAACGGGACACGAAATGAAATTCGAATTCCAGAATTCCCTAGAATCGTCCTTTTGCATTTCGTTGAACCGTATTTTCAAATATTCTTTTTGTATTGAATCGAACCCGATTTTTACAAGCACGAACGTAGGAAAACGACACTCGTTTCGGTTTTTTAATACCAGACTTTAATTTGCCGTCGATTTACTAATTTTAATTTGTTTTGCGCGTCAATTTCGAATTTAAAATATAAAATATTTTCGAGAAATATATTCCTTCGGATTACGTACCGTTGGTACATTGCACAAGATAATCGTGAATTGTACACGTACACATATATACTATGCGTGTATTGTAAGCGTGTACAGGGTGTCTCGATAATATTGATGTTAAAGGATGCACGAAAGTAGCGAAATAATAATTCTATAATTAATCCCACGCGATGTTTACCATCAACGCTTTGTACCTCGTAACGCTTCCACGACGTTCTATGCAAATTTCTAATAATACTTTGTGCAAAGACAGGTTACAAAAACTGTTATGACTCGAGACAATTTTTTTTTTTTATTATTATTTTTGTACATCGAAGTTAATTCTTTTGCGTTCGCGTTTTATGAGACACCCTGTGCATACGGATGTTACGAAGACGCGCCTTCGTTTCTTTGGCGTTGCGCTATATATATTGATAAGCAACGAAATTTATAAAGTAATCTATGAGAACTAATCACGCCGACGGAGAACAACACCGCACTCTAATCTTCTTTTAATACGTCGTTAAAAGTGTACAGGGTGTTCCACGCAACTGAATCGAGCCACAGCGTTGAAACAATAAAAGATAGAAAACAAATTAAATAACTTCGAAATCATTTAATTTTTCTTAATTGTTTTAACAGTGTAGCTGAATCCATTTACGCGAGACACTCTGTATGTGAAGAGAAAATTTTTTTTACCTCGACGAAAATGTATTTTCTGCGACGTGACGATGCTCCAGGCCCAAGGGCTCGCTGATTTATACGGAAAAGAAAAAGAACAAAAGAATTCGAGAATATTTTTCCACGAAGTGGCACAAAATTTTCCATAAAAAAAAACGACAAAAAAAGAAACGAATATCAAGATTTGAATTTTATAACGTGATCACGATCTTCGCTCTCGTAGGAACTAAACGTAGACGCTGCAATCGACTCCGTTCGTTCGATTTCCTTCGGCCAGCTAAACATTTTTTCGAGAAGCGAGAAGACAAAAAAGAAAACATTGTCGAATTGTTCGATACTTTTCTTCGATGAGTCGCTTCGTACTGTAAAAACACTTTCGAATATGTTTGAAATAAATTTCAGAATAAAGTTCTTCCAACGATCCGTCGATTTATTTCCGTCCCACGCGATGTCATCGATGGTCAATCATTACAGTTCAATTAACAAAATTGTAAATTAAATATTAGTAACTTTAGAAAGGTGCCTTGTTGAGATTTAATTAAAAAATTTCGTTTCAAATTATATTAAAAGATTCCAATTTTCAAGCATTCAAAATTGAAAATTGCAATTTTTGGGAGCAACGAAAAATAATGCACAATTTCTGGAGTCACTGACACATCGTAATTCAGTTGAATCGATTCGAAATATTTCGTAGACGCGATGAGAGGGGGAGGGGGTAGATAGAAGAGAAAAATGGCGTCGGTTTACATCGGCAAAGGGGCCGTTTATTTTACAGTCGCGTGATTCCACTCGCCGCCCCGCGAGTCCCCGGCGTGTCCTCCACGTCTGAAGAAGTATACTTTGAAAGTTTACAACAACTGTTCCCTCTTCGTAGTCTCACATCTAAGGTACTAGGATATCTACAATGATATAATTCTCCTTACACGACTATACACACATTCGGGTCGTTTCACCCCCTTCTCGTAGTTCCGACGACATTGAAAGACAGCCTTCGCTTCGTTCCCCGCCATTCGTCCTTATAATACGCAACCTATGTACACGAAGTTCCTTTTATTGCTACTTTACAAGATCTCCGTCCGGTCTGACGTAAACGTTCGCGCGAGTGTACGTATTTCGCTGTCTTCCTTTCCGACTTTCCATCTCTATTCTCTCTTTCATGTATATGTGTACGTGTGTGCGTGTGTGTGTGGAAATTGCGCGGACTGTGTCGATCCTGTCGAGCGCCGGATATTAACTGGAAGTACGCGATATCAGTGGAAAAGGTTTGAGATCGAGTATCGCGTGACAATCCCATTCCTATTTTTATTCCTTTGTGCGATTCCGAAACCCTGGCGAAGGTAAAACACCCTTCTAAAAGGAAACGATCGACAGAGTTGATAATACTGCCAACCTTGCTCGCCAGTATTCGTCAATTCATCGGAACGTCGAATCAAGACGCCTGTACAGTAATCCCCGCTTGTATGAATCAATTTTTCCCCGCGTAGATGCAGTCATCTCCCAATATTTACGTTCATTTGCGGCGAATTACACGTCGAATCGGAGCAATACTCGTGGCACATAGAACTAAATTTCATCCCACTATTGAAAATTAACAATTTTTATATTTATCGTTGAAAGTGTTATCAATAGATTGGCGAGGCTCTCCCGATGAAAATGAGTCCAAACACGACACAATTCGGAGCAATTTTAGTTATATGTTATTTCAAAATTTTGAATTACATATAATTAAAAGTAGTCCGAATATGGTCGTGTTTGGACTCATTTTCATCGGGAGAACCTCGCCAATGCATTGGTAATATTTCAGTTCACAAAATAAACTTTCATCCCACTACTGAAAATTAACAATTTTTATATTCATTGTTGAAAGTGTTATCAATAGATTAGCGAGCCCCTCCCGATGAAAATGAGTCCAAACACGACGCAATTCGGAGCAGTTTTAGTTATATGTTATTTCAAAATTTTGAATTAGGTATAATTAAAAGTGGTCCGAATATGGTCGTGTTTGGACTCATTTTCATCGGGAGAGCCTCGCCAATGCATTGGTAATATTTTCGTTCACAAAATCAAATTTCGATAACTCGAAACGTACAATCGGGGATTACCGTAATTCGTAGGGCAAACTTGACTTTCCCAATGCAAGATGTTTAAAAAAATCTGTTTGTGATTAGTAACCAAGATTCCCTCCACATTTAAAAGTTTCGCTAAACGAATCGACAAAAAATTCGATTCCTACTTTCCTCCGAAAGAGTTCGTCTCGAATACTCCGTGGTTCTCTATCGCTACGTCTACCCAGTCTGTCCGTTTTACGTCCCGCTTAGGCCGTGCTTTCTCGTTTCATGATCACACCCGTTTTCTCTCCGTTTCCGCTCGTCTTTTTCACCCCAATCGGGCCGCACGTGAGTCACGAAAATATATACACATCGTTAGAAAAGAACATTTCGCAAGATTTGTACGTCGTCTCTTGCCAACGATCGTACGAATAAAACATTATTTTTTTTTTTTACTTAAAATTCAGAAGCGAACGTTCTGTTACAAAAGAAACTGAGCGCGAATACAAGAACTCGTTCCGACGTTTCATACTCAACTATAAAATTTGTGTACTCGATTATATCAGCGTGTCCCGCTGGACTAATTCCGGCTTCGTCGCTTTTACGAACTAATAGTTTCCGATAAAAGGATCAAATCGCGACCTCCCTCCCGTCGCGATCGTGTGTGCGTTGTAACGTACTCGAGTCATCTTGGTCTGTGATCAATTCGGCGACTGAAACTGTAGAAAAATAAATTATTATATCGGCGACCGTGTTCGAGTGTTATTTAGTCACCGCTCGCGTCGCGAACGAGCATCCTACGGATGACTCGATACGAGATGTTTCACCAAGCCCGTGACAATACGACCAAACGAATCTCGATCGACAAACAAGACCAATTCGAGGAGCAACATTTTTCGATGGAAACTTTCGTTCTCGAATTATTTACATCGATCGCGAATAATCAGGAAATGAAAAGTTTCTCGCGAAAACGTAGCTTCTCGCGAATTGCTTCGCCTCGATCCCAGAAATCGTTCGATAAGCGAGTAATGCCGGGAACTTTATGAAATGCCTTGTATATTTGAGAAGTAAATCGTATCTAAGCTCCTAAGAAACCTCCTCCCCTTTAAACGTTTCTCTAATATAAATCGGCGAATCTGTTCGCAGAAAAGTATAGTTAAATTAAAAACTATAGAGATTGTTTCGCCAACGGCCCCGAGAAAATTTACTAAATATTTCGTGATTCGTAGTTCGAACGCGACCAGTACACGAAAAATGTAATAGATAGCAAAATTCTGATCGGTAAGATTCATCGTCGCTGTTAAATATGCAAGCACTTTTCCAAATTCGTGATACAATTTTTATCAGAAAGGAAAGCGTAGAGAACTGTTACGATTATGTCGCTAAAATTAATTTCGAAACGGTGCTTGTATCTATAACAGCGTCTTCTAAAACACACACCTAGATTATGAGATTTTAGGAGTCCTCGTCCCTTTGTATTTTTGTCCATCGACGAAGCAAATTTTGCTTCACACCGCTTATTCGAGTTTCGATGTTTCCCAACATTATATTTTTCGTAGTTCCACGGTGACGAGATTCGTCCAATTTCTACTAATTGTAAAGTTTACGGGGGATACACAATTCCTTTACTTTCATGTTCGATAGTACTTTTCCGACAGTATCTATAAACACTTTTGACTTGTACGTAATTCGTATTACAATATAATCGCTCCAGTGACTCCGGTTTGTTACCAGTAATTACACCATAATTCAACTACTTAGTGTGCACAATCTCGTCCGACGATTCAATTATTCCGACAATTAAACTCGTGAAATATGGTTTTTAATTTCTATTTTAATAATGTTACGATGTAATTCGATCGTTGTAACAATTGAATCGTACAATTTCTGAGGAAAAATTGGAATTTGGTTTAATTTCGAGCCAGCCGGGGCTCGAACCCGCCCCCCCCCATTCTGTTTCCTCCTTCGTTGCAGACAAGAACGCTACGCGCTCGGCCACCAAGGCCTCGTTGCGAGTTTAGCCTTTTCCCAAGTATTAGGTACACTCGCCTATTCGCGGAAGATTCCTTGTCGCCGTATCGCGACCATTCGATCGAGATCGTAGAAAAGTACACAGTTGACGGTACCGATGATCGAGAAAGCTCATAGTAAAGTGTGTTCCTCGATATTTAAAAAATACTGTAGAATTCAAGTATATCCACATGATCATTTTGACACAGTATTTTCCATACGTATCAACGAACACCCTGTACGTCGAGGAAAATGGCGATTCTCCGCGAGCCACGCGCAGGAAAAGTCCTACCACTAATTGACCGTCTCCTGTTAATTAATATCGAACGTGCTCGTCGCGGGATCTAGAAAAATAGAGTCACGATCAGCGATCTACCACAACGATTACGATCTAGACACTTTCTTAAGTTACCTATCGGTTCTAGAGCGACGAGAATGATCGAGTTCGAAGATCTCGACGACTCGTTCCGCCATGTTGGAACAGACGCGAACTTTCTACTCGATATAAAACGTCTCTAACGATAAACTCGTCGATGCGATTCGATTTTCACTCGGGTTTTATCGATTCCTCGAAGCTGCTCGACGAATCCTCTTGCTTCGTACCGCCGTTTCGTAGTTCTACTCGAGATAGGACGCCTTTAAAGGCCTGACCCCTAGCTAAAACAGGTTGACGTTTGAACGTTTGTTTCCGGGGGATTTTCGTTCTCGAATTGGAAACGGTAAATCTACGGTATTCTTCGATTTGTACCCTGTTCTTCGATGAACATTCTCGGCGAATTGGCACGAGCAAACGTAACGTAACGGGTGTTGGCGGTTAGCGTTTTTTCAACGGTGGCCGACAGCTACGTGGACCATTCGACCAGAGCTGGGTCCCCTTTTCACCGACTCTTCGTTTGAACACAGTTTCAAGAGCTCCTCGAGTTAGGCAAATTTCTCGTCAGTCGTCAATTACACTACCGGAAAACGAATCGTAAGCTCGTGAAAAAATTACAAAACGAACGAAAGTCGATATAGAAAATCTATTGGGAACGACAAACGATCCGAAAACTAAATGATCCTTCCGGTCGATAGAACCGATCAAAACCGCCCAGCTCTGTTCCCGTCGATCGTCACGCGCGACGACACTTCGATCCTTCGTTTCTCGTATTCTCCGTGCATCTTTCATTCTCTAATTCCTTTTCTCGTCCTCCGAGAGAACCGCTAAACACACTTAGAGCTGCCTACGATTGTTCGAACTCGTTCGAGAATTCCTCCCGAGACTGGCGTCGATTCGAGCCTCCGAGGCCTCGTTCGTCGTTTCTTCCCGACGATTCCTCGAATCCTCGAGGGTTTCCTCGAGGTGCAGAGAGAACGAGGAAGAGTTTACGTTTAAGTATTTAGAGCCTTCGAGTAGTAGCCTACTGGTAGATGATGGGATGAGTAGGTTCGACAGGCAGGTCGCTGTCCAGGTTCAAGGAGACGCCATCTTTCGACACCAAGTAGTGAGTCAGCAGCTGACCCTTTCCCTTCACGAACACGAGGCCGCGCTGCTCGAAACCGAAACCGAAGGGCTCCAGGATCCTCCGGGTCTCGTCCGTGACCTGCCATCGAAACGTCAACATCAAATTTTTGGAATTTCGTTAAAGCTTTCGAAAGTTCTGATTTTAGAGATTTTTAAACTGTTTTCAAGAGTAATGTGAGGTCCTGATGATGACAGATGGAAAGTCGAGGAACGTATATGTACTAATGGAAGGTTAATTGAGCGCTTGTGAGAGAGACAAGAGCGTAGCCCTCTGGTGGCGAAGAACTTAAATTTACGAGAAAAGGTCCACGAACTTGGAACGTCAGGACGATTGTACCTGGATACAACCAACTTTTCCGGTGCTCTCCATCCTGGAGGCCACGTTCACGGTGTTGCCCCAAATATCGTAATGGGGCTTCCTTGCTCCGATCACTCCAGCCGTTACGGGACCGTGATTGATGCCCATCTTGAGGACAAAATGGTTGAAACTCTGCTCGTTGATGCTGGACAAAGCCTTCTTCAGTTCCAACGCGAACTCCACCAGGTTGGAAAGGTGGCACCATCGCGGGAGATCGTCGGGATCGTCGGACTCCATTATCCCCGACGCTGCCATATACGTTGAGCCTATCGTCTTTATCTTGATAATGTCTTTGAACTTATTTTGATCGAGTATCTAGCGGGAAGAAAACGTCTCAAATTTAATATCTAAAGACTTTACGATATTCGATGTAGGGTTGGAAGGTCAAATCCCCATTTAGAGCCGAGTAAATTTTTCAAACGGACGCCATTTGCAGAAGTTTGTTCATAAAAGCGGGAAACTTGAATCTTGCAAAGGGGACATGTACTTTTCAACAATCTAATATTGTCATTTACAATTATAATTGTACCGCGATTGGACAGACGCCATTTGCAATGTACAAGTCAAAGGCGGGAAATTTGAATCTCGAAAAGGGGAACATTTATTCTTCAACAATCTAATATTATCACCTACAATTATAATTGCACCGCGATTGGATAGACGCCATTTGCAATATACAAGTCAGCCCCCCAAAGGCGGGAAATTTGAATTGTGAAAAGAGTGAAGTCTCGTTTGCAACAATCTAATATTATTATTTGCAATTATAATTGCACCGCGATTGGACAGACGCCATTTGCAATAACAAGACAACCCCCAAAGGCGGGAAATTTGAATCTTGAAAAGGGGAACAGTTACTTTTCAATAGTGTAATATTATCATCTACAATTATAATTGCACCGTGATTGGACAGACGCCATTTGCAATGCACAAGTCAACCCCCAAAGGCGGGGGAAATTTGAATCTCGAAAAGGGGAACATTTACTCTTCAACAATCTAATATTATCATCTACAATTATAATTGCACCGCGATTGAACGGACGCCATTTGCAATGTACAAGTCAACCCCGAAAGGCGGGAAATTTGAATCTTGAAAAGGAGAACATTTACTCTTCAACAATCTACAATTATAATTGCACCGTGAATGAACAGACACCATTTGCAATGTACAAGTCAGCCAACAAAGGCGGGAAATTTGAATCCTGAGAAGAGTGAAGTCTCGTTTGCGACAATCTAATATTATTATTTGCAATTATAATTGCGATTACTTGTTGCCGTATCGTGGAAAAGTCTCTGTGAAAGTACCAACCGCGTCGAAATCCGAGATGACCTCGTTGAGAAACCTTAGACACTCGAGGCCCTGATTGTTGATGCTCTCCTCGCTGTAAAAGTCCGCGAAGTTGGGCATGCTGGCGAACAGTACGCCCACTTCCGCGTAGCTCTGGCTGTAGAGGTCGTCGTGGTGTCTGGCTCTGGATAGGAAGTAGGCGGCCACGTGCGGCGGCAGGATGTTGTATATCAGGGCGCCGTTTCTACGCTTCATGTCCGCCGCTCTTTCCCTTTGGGCGATCACCTCGCGTCCGCGAAGGTACAGCATCCTCCTCGCCTTTTCCGCCTGGAAAGATCGATCGAATCGTCGTAGATCGGGACCCTCACCCTCTTTAACCTTTACTGTTCCACTGAGCATTCATAATGTCAGGCATTTTGACTTTTTAAATATTATTGGTTCAACGCCGATCGAACTTTGCGCTTTGGCAGCTGGGCAAACTCTGAAATTGTTTCACATATTCTATTTATCCCTGGTCTTCTATAAAAAGAATGATCGAACACTTAGTTCCCCGTTGCATCGCAAGTCTCTTCTAATTGTCGCTAGTTATAGTGGTATGGTAAATTACGATTGAGACAATAGTGGGTAATGGTGAATAGAACGTCCGTCACTCACGTATCTGGCGACGACGACCAAAGAGGTGGACACGTAGAGCAGGGTGGTCGAGAGACTGTATTTGGATGGGAAGGGTGCTGGGTCGATGTGCGACGAGGCATAGTTCTCCCAATCCAACCGCCCACCGAGTAGCCAGATGTTGATGAAACACTGGGCGCCGGCGATGCCATACATCAGGTACGCCTTGCCGAGGTAACATATGTAGGTCGGCATTGAGATCGCCACCAGCGCGAGAACACCGATGTACGTGTAATAGGATGGATACGGGCATCTCGGCGACAGAGTTGTGGAGGCGTTAAAGGGCGGGATCGCTTCCTCGATGACGACACAGTTGCTCTGTGAAATGTTCCACAGTTTACTCGAAGGGGTTCCCAACGCAAACGTCACGCAAAACACCGATAAATGTCAGTATTTAGTCATAAATACTGGTATTATACCGGTAAAAGTCCGTATTTAGTCTATAAAACCTCATGAATACCGGAATTCTACCAATAAAAGTCGGTATTTAGACAACTAAAATTCATAAATATCGGTAAAAATTGGTATTTAGTCAATAAAATTTCATGAATACCGGTATTATACCGGTAAAAGTCCGTATTTAGTCTATAAAACTTCATGAATACCGGTATTATACAGGTAAAAGTTGTTATTTAGTCAACTAAAATTAATAAATACCGGTAAATTTTGGTATTTATTCTATTGAAATTCATAAATACCGGTATTATACCGGTAAAAGTCGGTATTTAGTCTATAAAACTTCATGAATACCGGTATTATAATGGTAAAAGTCGGTATTTAGTCAACTGAAATTCATAAATACTGGTGAATTTTGCTATTTATTCTATTGAAGTTCATAAATACCGGTAAAAGTCGGTATTTAGTCAACTGAAATTCATAAATACTGGTGAATTTTGCTATTTATTCTATTGAAGTTCATAAATACCGGTAAAAGTCGGTATTTAGTCTATAAAACTTCATGAATACCGGTATTATATTGGTAAAAGTCGGTATCTAGTCAACTAAAATTCATAAATACCGGTGAATTTTGGTATTTATTCTACTGAAGTTCATAAATACCGGTAAAAGTCGGTATTTAGTCTATAAAACTTTACGAATACCGGTATTTTATCGGTAAAAGTCGGTATCTGGTGAACTAAAATTCATAAATACCGGTGAATTTTGGTACTTATTCTATTGAAATTCATAAATACCGGTATTATACCTGTAAAAGTCGATATTTAGTCTATAAAACTTCATAAATACCGGTAAATTTTGGTATTTATTCTATTGAAATTCATAAATACCAGTACCTCACCTCTATTTACCAGTAATTTTGTCAAAATTTTCCTCAAATACATACCAAATACCGGTATTATTTTCTTATCGTTATCCAACTCATCTATCTGCATACATAACAATGAACCAGAAGACACTCGAACGAAATACCGAAATAATACCGGTATTTATTTTGGTACACGGTATTATGAAGGTACTGGTATTTTGGTATAGCATTAGTTTTGTCATTTCGCTTTATGTTAATTTGGAACACTAGAGTTCGAAGGAAGTTGGGAAAAAAAAAAATTAATTAACATTTGACTAATGATAAAACGAAGCGAAATTGAATTACAGTGTCAAGTTACATCCTCGTTTCGTTACGAGCCCAATAATTGCGAGCGGCCAATAATTCTCCAAACAGAAATTTCAGCCTTCGGGAAAAGATACGCAATGTTTCTGGCGCGGGCGAGTTTCATTAAAATCGGCGCGTATTAGTTGGAGTGACGGTCCCTTGTTAGCGATATTCTCATTTCCTGGTCTCGTTTCAACCACTCTGCGCTCAGGTCACTCCCTTAGGGATCTTATTAAACTTGTACACCTATTACATTCATCAGCAGTCGTCTCTCAGACGGTCCGCAATATCATTATAATTCCTCAATTATTTTTGCCCCGATGCCACGAGACTGCACCGTATTTTAACGATAAAAGGAATTAAATGCGACACGAAATTACTGTATTATACGGGTGACGTCACCATTCCGCAGGAACTATGAAACAATAAAATTAAGAAGGTACTCGGGAGGAAAGAAAAGAATATAAAAATTACAGTTACTCGCTATAAATGTAAAAAAAGCTCGTTCCTTATAAACTGAGTTTATATTATTAATATTTCTCTATCGGTTTTATAATTTAAAAAATCTAGTTCATGAATACACAGTGTAGTAAATAACATTTAAAAATTCATAGGAAACAAGAATCTTCCATTATAGTGTTCGAATATGTACGAGTTTCGAGTAACTATTGTGGGTGTTACACGGTGCAAGGTGCACGGTTATATGCTGTGATTAACCTAAATTTGGGGAGGCTCGGTATACAGCCTGACCCTGATGCATACATTTCGAAATTCGAAGTATGTAAACGATACGTCGTTTATGATCGTACCATGTCTAAAAGCAGGAAATTGCTTAGGGAGAATGTCATCATCAGTGCCAGGGCTCTCCTCAGCCACATAGCCTTGACAGCGCTGCCCAAACAGGTGGCACCTGCCAAAACGACCGCAAACAAGATAACCACACCCAAGCCGCCCCACGTGAAAGGTCCCCAGGGCTGAAACCTCCAAACCGGGACGGCGCAGATCATCACCAAAGGTCCGCCGATAAGTGACAAGGGGGAAAAGGCATCCTCCGCGTGGAGGAACGCTGATTCCACTTTCGCGTCCTTGAATCTCAGCGTCAACCAATGGGTGTGCCCCTTCAGGTCCGCCACACCACCTGCAATTCGCATAACTCATTTCTGAACTCATTAATTACAATTTCTAAACATTCTTCGCAAAAATACGCGTCGTTTGCATTTTCAAACATTAAAATCCCCCAATCCGTTCAGCAGTTATGATTTTTTAATCAGGAGAATCACTGGTCAGACATTATAGTTTCGGTACGGAATTTTTTTCTCGAAAACGCGTGGGATTTCGAGGGTATATCTATTGACCAGAAATGATTGTAATTAACCCTTCTAGGTAACAATATTTTTTTTAAAATGATTTGAAATTTTTGAATTTTACAGAAAATTTTAGCACCTACTCGAATTTTTTTCTCGTAAATGCGTGGGAATTAGAGGGTGTATCTATTGACCAAAAATGATTGTAATTAACCCCTCTAGATAACAATAATTTTTTTAGAATGATTTGAAATTTTTCAATTTCGCCGAAAATTTTAGCACCTACTCGATTTTTTTTCTCGTAAATGCGTGGAAATTCGGGAGTATGTCTACTCACCAAAAATGATTATAATTAACCCTTCTAGGTAACAGTAATTTTTTTAGAATGATTTGAAATATTTTAATTTCGCTGAAAATTTTGGCACCATCTCGAATTTTTTTCTCGAAAATGCGTGGGAATTCGGGGGTATGTCTACTCACCAAAAATGATTGTAATTAACTCCTCTAGGTAATAATATTTTTTTTAGAATGATTTAAAATATTTTAATTTCGTCGAAAATTTTAGCACCTTCTCGATTTTTTTTCTAGAAAGTTAGTAGGATTTCGGGGGTATATCTATTGACCAAAAATGATTGTAATTAACTCCTCTAGGTAATAATATTTTTTTTAGAATGATTTGATATTTTTTAATTTCTCCGAAAATTTCAGCACCTCCTCGAATTTTTTTCTCGAAAATGGATAGGATTTCGAGGGTATGTCTATTGATAAAAAATGATTGCAATTGACCCCCGCAACCGAAAATAATTTTTCCAGACCCGTTTGAAACTTTTCAGTTTCGCCAAAAAATTCCACACCTGTTTCGTGAAATTTGATGAAAGTGCATACTTTTCTCGATTTTATAGATATCAGGGACAAGAATTTTCTCACGAAATGCATAATCTTCGAGGTCGTCATTAATCGATACCGAAGCAAGAACGTATAAAAATAAAAGCGTTAAGATAATTATTTATTTATACACCATACAAGACGGTCAGTATGAAAAGAAAATTTCACGATCAAGAGTGAAAATAATATATTTTTACAAAGTCACGAGAATTGAACTTTTGGTTTCTGCCCTTCTCGGAACGTTTTATTTAGAATTTGCTTACCTTTGCTATCGAGCTCCTTCCTCAGCCTCTGCCTGAACTCCTCGGAGTCCTCCTTGTTGGTTCGTCCGTCCCCCGCGTTCTCCATCGTCCTCCTCGAGGACTCTGTGTCGGTTAGAGAAGCCAGACTCTTGGTGACCGCGGGTTTGAAGGGCTTCAGCGCCCTGACAATGAAGTAAGTGACGATACCAGCCTTCTGCAACGCCTCTTCTCGGTCCTCGCCGTGCGCTGGCTCGACCTCGAACTCACCGTTCAGGAAGCTCAGAGTCGCGTTCGAGATGTGCACTCTCCTTCAAGTATTTATTCAAGAATATAAACCCTTTGTTTACTCGATCGCTCCAACTAGTCGCGGAGGGGAAAATCGATTTTCGAGATCCGCCGTTTACGGTTTCAAAAGCGTTTCTCCTCGCTCGAGCTCAGAGCGCAGTGAAAACGCTATTTTCCACCCGCCATCGAGCTTTGAAACGAGATCAAAGTTCGCGAGAGATTTTTGGTAATTATTCCTTTTGTTCGTAAACGATTCAGTCACCTTAAATATTCCAATTTTCAGAAAAAAATGGTTCATATTGCATCGTAAAAGTTATTGTTGATTTCGAGCAACGATTTCCTCCGATCGAATTAGGTACACCCTGTACACTTAGCCATTAAGCGATTTAGCCGCTGAGCCGAGGGGGATTAACACTCCGAGCTTCTAATATTAACTAATTATGTTTGGATAGCGTGACGTGTAACTGTGTCGCCTATAATCTATCAAACGATCACGATAATTATTTGCTCTTCGATCAGACCCAAACAACAACATCTGTGCAATGGATTCCAAGTTTTCAATAATTAAATTTAAGTTGGTTTTCAATAATTATTCCTGATTTTCAAAAGCGTACAGAAGTGTACAAAAGTGTATTTCGAAATTTGATAGTTTCAGTACTCCGTTCGATTCTACTGTTTCGAAAATCAATGGTAAAGAATAATTCAAAATATTTAATTTTACAAACTCGGTCACACACAAAATGTAAGAATTCCATGCGTCGAATAAATTTTGTAAGGGTGTTCGACCACCCCTGGAACAAATGTTAATGAGGGATAGAGGCCAAAATAAGACGAAAATCAAGAATACAAATTTCTTAATCGAGGCTTCGTTAAAAAGTTATTAATGTTTAAAGTTCCGACAATACTGAATTTTTTTCCTCGAAAATGCGCAGGATTTCGGGTGTATGTCCATTCACCAATAATGATTGCAATTGACCCCCGTAACCGAAAATAATTTTTCCAAAACGATTTGAAATTATTTTTTTCCATCGAAAAATTTCACATCATCTCGAATTTTTTCCTAGAAAGTGGGTAGGAATTCGGAGGTATATGTATTCACCAAAAATGATTGTAATTGACCCCCCTAGCTGAAAATAATTTTTTTAGAATGATTTGAAATTTTTTAAGTTTGTCGAAAAATTTCACACCTTCTCGATTTTTTTTCTCGAAAGTGGATAGGATTTCGGAGGTATGTGTATTCACCAAAAATGATTGTAATTGATCCTCCTAGCTGAAAATAATTTTTCCAAAACGATTTGAAATTTTTTAATTTTATCTAAAATTTCACACCTTCTCGAATTTTTTTCTCGAAAGTGCGTAGAATTTCGAGGGTATGTGTAATGACTAAAAATGACTATAATTAACCCCCGCAACCGAATATAATTTTTTTAGAATGATTTGCAATTTTTTAATTTTGTCTAAAATTTCACACCTTCTCGAATTTTTTTCTCGAAAGTGCGTAGAATTTCGAGGGTATGTGTAATGACTAAAAATGACTATAATTGACCCCCGCAACCGAATATAATTTTTTTAGAATGATTTGCAATTTTTTAATTTTGTCTAAAATTTCACACCTTCTCGATTTTTTTTCTCGAAAGTGCGTAGAATTTCGAGGGTATGTGTAATGACTAAAAATGACTATAATTAACCCCCGCAACCGAATATAATTTTTTTAGAATGATTTGCAATTTTTTAATTTTGTCTAAAATTTCACACCTTCTCGAATTTTTTTCTCGAAAGTGGATAGGAATTCGGAGGTATGTGTATTCACCAAAAATGATTGCAATTAACTCCCGCAACCGAAAATAATTTTTCCAGAACGATTTGAAATTTTTTAATTGAATTGTTAATAACTTTTTAACGAAGCCTCTATCAACAAATTTTTATTCTTGATTTTCGTCTTATTTTGGCCTCCAGAGTCTCCCATTAATTTGTCTCTTTATAGTCGATATTGATTATATGAAAATTCAATTATTTATTGTTTCAAAATCAGCCATCTTTGACGAACAGGCAAACTTTTCTCGTTTAATTCATTTCTGTCAGCCATCATTCTTCTTCGTTCGATTTTTCGATGTCTGATTCCATATTTAAAATTGCAGAACGCGTAAATATTATTTTTTAACAACTTGTGTTGAATTTGATCGATGCAATGGCATGAATACATATTCTAATTAAAAGAAAAATCGTATTATAAGGTAATCGTCAACATGAAATGAAAGGTATCAATAAATATACGTTCAATACGATCAATGCCCTAAATCTAATGTTATCTAATGTAAATCTATTGTTAATAGTATCAGTTGGAATAATTTCGTGACTCGTAGTCCAAGAAGCAATCTGAAAAATGGCGGCAGTTCTGGCTCGACTAAAAAATTGTCAGGGGGTGAGTTTCGTCGAACGCCTCGCCGTGGGTAAAATAAAAAAGAGAAAAAAAAAAAGTACGACAAGGCATTAAAAACTGCTCGCTGGGCGTTTCGCTGTGTAATTAACGTCAAAGATATACGGCTCGGAGTGCGCTCATTATGTGTCCGCGAGCGTCAAGAACGCGTTTTATACGTCCACACATCGATATCGTTTTTAACGCGACGTGAAATTCCAGGGCTGCGCGTGTGTGCTCGTAGCTTTTTCACGCTTCCAGCGAGCCCGGCTCCCTTTGTTACGACGGTCTCGAAAAGCGCACGAGTGTAAACGGGGTTAAGGTGGACAAAGAAACGACGATGATTGCAAACATCGCAAATTATTAGCGCCGGGCGCCGATCGGAAACGAACAATTTTCCAATCCGTCCTACGTGTGCACCTTCCACCCTTCGAACAGCGACATTAAACACGAAAATAATTAATTAATTCGTTGGATTTAACAGTCGTAAAATATTCGATGGAGTCAGTGGGTGAAATTGATTGGAAAATTATGGTTTTTATGGAGGAAGATCCGATTTAGTCTCGTCTCGTGGGAAAAATTACGCTCAGGTGGGACGACGCGGAGTAAAAATATTGAATTGAAGCTTTAAATACACACTTCCTATAGTCTCTATTTAATAACGGCGTCTATCTGATAACTATAATAGCAGACGCATCCCCCGTTGTACTTTTAATACGTGAACCTGAACTATGCTAAAATTATCACTGCTCTCTGGATTTATCGCCTCGATTCGAACTTATTTAAAACGCGATCTTGAAATTCCAATCGAGACGGGGCCAGAACTCACCCCCTATCGAAAATTTTGTTCTTTTAGTCTTTTTTTTAATTCGAAATTAGATCGTGACTAATCCACCCTCGTCCTTGATAGAGTCTTTCGTCCGATCAATTTAACCTTCCACCCTTATATATATTTTATTAAATCCACCCTTTAAGTCTCACCCATGGAAATTCTGTTCTGTCGTGCTGGAGGGGGCGGGATTGAAGATTCTTTTGTGATTTTTCCTGGCTCGAGTCAAAATTAAAAATTCAATCCCAGCGATCCCCGCCCGCCACCCACCCTGACCTCGGGGTAATCTTTTATTCTCGCTGGGCGAGTACGTATGCAAATATAACTACTGCCGTGCCTGATTTCTCACTGAGATTTCAATCCGCCCCGCCTCGAAATTAAGAATTCAATTGTAATAAATTTAGCCCCCCCCCACCCTCGCCTTAAACATTCTTTTGTTGGGACAGATGTTTTCAAATTGCGTTTAAAAATCGTTTCTCGCTGAGGGTGAATATTCATTTGAATTTAACTGTTCCTATTTCTTTTTTTTTTTGATAAATTCAACCCCCTGCCTCTGTTTAAACGCGTCTTTTATTCGGGGGGCGAATGTGTATAGAAAATTAACTGTTCTAACATTGATTTTGTCTATCTCGAATCGCGATGAAAAATTCAATTGGTGGTTAATTAACCCCCCCCCACCCTTGTCTCCGAGCAATCTTCGTTTGTCCACGCGGGGTAAATATTTTCGTTACATTAACTGTACTGCTCCTCTAATTTCCCCACCCTGTTTATACGTGGGGGAACTCTAAATAAGTAGTTCATTTTCCAAAAATTATTCCACCATTAAAATAAACATTTCCTTCGTTTTCACAGTAATTGGGGTTGTTGAAAATTCCATAGCAGTAAAAATCTCTCCCAAATTGAGCATGTGTCTCCAAAATGGGGTGTAAATATTACACTCCCCATTCCTCTTCGTTATAAAAAATAAAAAATATTAATATCGAATAGGAGAAAAATAATTCAAAGAAGATAAGAGTAAACTTGTTTGTTCACGATACTAAAATTTATATAAAATTATAGATCGAGTGTTGCTCAACAAAATCATTTATTATAGTTAATGCGAAGGAGGTTTGCTCGTCCCACAGCAGCGCCACCTTTGTATTGCGCCATGTAGTCGTGTTAGGCGTATGCCTATTTGAGTTTGTTCTTTTTATGCTTATTATATATCTGTATTATGTGTAATAACTAAATATATTATGTGTGTAAGTGGAGTTATTCAAAACCCCAACAAAGGGTTATGGGCCCAGCATAATGTCTAATAAGAGTGATAATGATAACATTTGCAAATGCTAATTTGGACAAGTCGTTGATTAAAGGAAGGATGACAGTTACTGCTGTGGAATTTTATTTAACGTCAATTCGAAAGGTCCACCGTTGCCAAAAAAAACGAGCCTCACCCCGCCATTCCGCTGCTCTCCATTTTGTTCGCCAGCTCGACGTCCTTGCTGTAAACATCGAACTGCCATTGTCGTTGGCCGAGCACCCCCGCCAAAACAGCGCCGGTGTGTATGCCCACCCTCATGTCGACAGGGCTCTTTGTCGTCTGTTGAACATACTTGATGGCGTCCACCATGGACAGGCCCATGTAGACACAGAGAACAGCATGGTCGGGCCTTTCCACCGGTGCTCCACTTATGCAGTAGTAACAGTCACCCAGGATCTTGATTCGCAGCTGTTCGTACCTAAACATTTATTTCTCCTTGCAATCAACGTCGATTAATTAAAACAATTTTAGAGACTATTTAAGATACCTCAACAAACATAATACATACAGGATTTTTAGTAAATTATTTATCCAAAAGTGAGTAAAAAATATTTAACAATTGTAGTAAGTAAAACTCATTGAGGACATTTTTAAATATTTATTTCTCCCTGGAATCAACGTCGATTAATAAAAAAAAATTTTAGAGAATATTTAGGTTATCCCAACAATTATAATACATCCAGGATTTTTAGTAGATTATTTATCCAAAAGTGAGAAAAAAATATTTAACAATAGTAGTAAGTAAAACTCATTGAGGACATTTTTAAATATTTATTTCTCCCTGGAATCAACGTCGATTAATTAAAAAAATTTTAGAGACTATTTAAGATACCCCAACAAACATAATACATACAGGATTTTTAATAAATTATTTACCCAAAAGTGAGTAAAAAATATTTAACAATAGCAGAAAACTAAAACTCATTGAGGATACTTTTAAATATTTATTTCTCCCTGTAATCAACGTCGATTATTTAAACAAATTTTAGAGACTATTTAAGATACCTCAACAAACATAATACATACAGGATTTTTAGTAAATTATTTATCCAAAAGTGAGTAAAAAATATTTAACAATTGTAGTAAGTAAAACTCATTGAGGACATTTTTAAATATTTATTTCTCCCTGGAATCTGCATTGATTAATTAAAAAAATTTTAGAGACTATTTAAGATACCCCAACAAACATAATACATACAGGATTTTTAATAAATTATTTATCCAAAAGTGAGAAAAAAATATTTAACAATAGCAGAAAACTAAAACTCATTGAGGATATTTTTAAATATTTATTTCTCCCTGCAATCTGCATCGATTAATTAAAAAAATTATAGAGACTATTCAGAGTGTCCCAACAATTATAATAAATCCAGGATTTAGTGGATTATTTATCCAGAATCGGGTAAAAAATATTAAATAAAATTAGAGTTGCCTGAGTAGGGTAGAAAGTAATCGAATTGACAAAGTGTGATTGCGGTCGTAATTGAATAATAAAACCCCACACGTGCGTTGGTTGGGGCGGTTTTTAAGTAGACTATACGGCAGCGTGAGCGTCGTGTTATTGACTATACTACTGGGAATTTGCGACTGAAGTCCTTGCGTGGAAACGGGGTTGAGTGGCGAGGATTTAATTTTAGAAAAAGGGAAGGGAAAGAGGATTTAATTTTTCGCCTCGTTCCCGGGGCGCTGTTTGTTAAATAGAAAGAAGCTACATGTCAAGGAGCGTTACAAGTGGAAACTTTGTGGATTTATACATTGACCCGTACTACTGGCATTCGTATCGTACCTGTGACGAATTCGCGATCGATACGTCTTTCCAGAAGATGTTCCTTTTAATTATTTCCCCCAGTTTTCACCCTCTACTTTCATAGAAAAATCCCCACGAACAAATCACGTATTCAACAAATTAATAAAATTGAAAATTAATATAAATTCCATTCAAATTCTCAGGCATTGCTTTCTACATTCTTCTTAAATATGAGTCAAGTGAAATTTTCGAAAATTTAGGTTTTCTTTCCATTGCAAAAATTACCAAATTTTAGTCCAAATAATTGCAAAAAAAAAAGAATATCTTCGAAACTGTTGCAAATAAAAATGTCAAAGTGTGTATAATAGTGGATATAATATAAATTCCATTCAACTTCTCGGGCATTGTTTTCTACATTCTTCTTAAATATAAGACAAATAAAATTTTCGAAAATTCAAGTTCTCTTTCCGTTGCAAAAATTACCAAACTTTAGTACAAATTTTAATCCAAATAATTGCAAAAAAAAAATAATATCTTCGAAACAGTTGCAAATAAAAATGTCAGAGTGTGTATAATAGTGGATATAATTTTATATCAGTTAAAAAATATATTCATACTTTTTAAATTCATATTAATATAAATTCCATTCAACTTCTCGGGCATTGTTTTCTACATTCTTCTTAAATATAAATCAAGTAAAATTTTCGAAAATTCAAGTTCTCTTTCTATTGCAAAAATTACCAAATTTTAGTACAAATTTTACTCTAAATAATTGCAAAAAAAAAGAATAATATTTTCGAAACAGTTGTAAATAAAAATGTCAGAGTGTGTGTAATAGTGGATATAATTTTATGTCAGTTAAAAAATATATTCATTTAACAACAAAATTTCGACGAACGTGGACCAAAATGGCCGTCCAAGGATGAAAGGGCGAACCTGTTGATTTTGATCAGTAAACGTCTACGATTTTTGTCAATCTCCGTGCAATAATCTCGCAATTACTGTTTAGAGCTGTCGTTGAATCAGGTTTACGATGAACGTCGGTGCCTTCGGACGTATCGATTCCTCGAGAGGCCCGCGAAGGAGTTGGAAACGTAGAAACGAGTCGACGGAGTTTCCCGATAAAGTCAATTTCGCGGCTGGCAATTCCAGGATTTTCATTATCCGGCCGGAAGGGCGGTTCGCGCGGAACGATTTCGCGACGGTTCGATCCGGGTCGGTCGAGTGGATCGCAAACGAACCGAACCCTCTCGCGTCGCCATTGTTGTCGATTAATTCGTTTCTCTTTCGCGCCTCGATAATCGTTCATCGAGCAGAACTAAAACGGAAAAAAAAAAAACGCCAGAGGGAACATCGAAACCATCGAAGCAGATTTTTATTAGCAGAATTAACGAAACGAGACCTGCCAAAGGGTGGTTTCATCCCCAAAATATAATAATTCTTACTATCCTATATTTCCATATCAAGTGCATTACGTAGCTTTTTCCATAATTAAATTTATCTCGTCAAATTAAAAATTGTATTCACGGTGAAAATCTTCGTGTCGTGAATGAAAATGATTAAAGAGAATTTAATACAAAATGGAGGAACGACGGTAAAGCGTTGGATTAGCAGCCCCCGGGAGTCGTTAGACGCGAATCTAATTGAAAATGTTTGAAGCTGCTCGTGGCTGAAGCTTTGAGGGGAACGTGCGTGGAATACAAAGCAATTAACTCGACGAGTACGGTTGGTTTGGACTCTGCCTCGAGGATACGTCCCTCGCTGCGTCTGCAAGGCAACTACCCACGATTGCAGTTATTAATACAGAAAATCACTCTCCCGTCAAAGATAATTTTCTACCATTCGAACGCAAAGAGTCCCCTTGGTGATATTAAAAATTATTTCGAACCTCTCGCTGAGCTGATCGAACCGTGCAAACAGTTCGTTGAGGATCTTGACGAGCTCGCTGGCGCTGTACGTGGAAGAGATGGCCGTGAAACCGACGATGTCTGCGTAGAGGATCGAGACGTTCTCGTGCCTGGACATGTAGATCTTCTTGAACTGTGTGTCCAACGAGGCACCTAGATCCTGGCGCATCTTCACGGCTACGTGCTCGGGGAGGACGCTGAGCAACAGCCTTTCTTGCTCCGCGCTTTGCTCCTCGATCACCAGCTGGACCTCCAGGCTCTGTCTGGTCTCCAGGAAAGCTCGACGCTGCTGGAACTCCGTCAACGAATAGCTGAAAGTCCCGAGGAGCATCGAACCCACCGACAGCATCACCGTCAGCACCTGTGCAAACATTTAAACAGATCGTTTGGACCCTGTCGAAGATGTAAAAATTGCTTCTTCGTTCTTGAAGACGATACGTGAAGTTTTGGGGCAGGTCTGGGTTAGTTTCTGAGTGTTTCTTGCATATTTGCATATTAAGTGCATTACGTAGCTTTTTGAAAATTAAGATTTCCCCATAAATGCATACACATCTGCAGTCTAATTATTACCTCAAGTTCTAAAATTTGTCTTATACAAGGTGTTCGGTTAACCCTGGGTAAAATTTTAATGGGACATTCTAGAGGCCAAAATAAGATGAAAATCAAGAATACCAATTTGTTGATAGAGGCTTCGTTAAAAAGTTATTAACAATTAAATTAAAAAATTTCGAATCGTTCTAAAAAAATTATTTTCGATTATGATATTCAATTGCAATCATTTTTTGTTAATAGACCTACCCCCGAAATCCTATCCACTTTCGAGAAAAAAATTCGAGAAGGTGTGAAATTTTTCGACGGGAAAAAATAATTTCAGATCGTTCTGGAAAAATTATTTGCAGCCAGGGGGGTCAATTACAATCATTTTTGGTGAATACATATACCCCCAAAATCCTACCCGCTTTCGAGAAAAAAATTCAAGAATGTTAGAAATTTTTCGACAAAATTCAAAAATTTCAAATCGTTTTGGAAAAATTATTTTCGGTTACGGGGGTCAATTACAATAATTTTTGGTGAATAGACATACCCCCGAAATCCTGCGGATTTTCTAGAAAAAAATTCGAGAAGATGTGAAATTTTTCGGCGTAATTAAAAAATTTCAAATCATTCTAAAAAAATTATTGTTACCTAGAGGGGTTAATTACAATCATTTTTGGTGAATAGACATACCCTCGAATTCCAGCCCAGTTTCGAGAAAAAAATTCAATAATTCGACAAATTTTTCGGCGAAATTAAAAAACTTCAAATCATTTTAAAAAAATTATTTTTAGTTGTGAGGGTCGATTACAATAATATTTGGTGAATAGACATACCCCCAAAATCTTACGCATTATGGAGAAAAAAATTCAATAAGTGGACAAATTTTTCGGCAAAATTAATAAATTTCAAATCGATTTAAAAAAATTATTTTTAGTTGTGGGGATCGATTACAATCATTTTTAGTGAATAGACATACCCCCGAAATCCTGCGCATTTTCTAGAAAAAAATTCGAGAAGATGTGAAATTTTTCGGCGTAATTAAAAAATTTCAAATCATTCTAAAAAAATTATTGTTACCTAGAGGGGTTAATTACTATCATTTTTGGTGAATAGACATACCCCCGAAATCCTGCGCATTTTCGAGAAAAAAATTCAGTACGGTCAGAACTTTAAACATTAATAACTTATTAACGAAGCCTCCATGAACAAATTGGTATTCTTGATTTTCGACTCATTTTGGCCTCTAGAATCCTTTAGAATCATAAACTTTTTCCCAAACACCCTGTATAGTGGAATATGAAAATACTAACTTTAAAAAATTCTAATATATTGGAAAGTAACAACCTGCAGACAAAATTTGATGGATCACCATTTTCCATAAAACGAGCAATAATTATTTATTCATATATGTAGATAATGGAAAGTTGAACACCGTACAGTGTTTTTATTTACACGTATTTTTGCACAGACCAACGAAATAGAAAATCATTATTTTTTTACCACGATACAATTAAATACGCTTGTAAAATATTCCAAAGAAATTCTAATATTCCGGGTAAAACCATCGATGTTTCCATAGATAATGCCCTGGTAAAAGCGTGGATGAATCATAAGATGGCACCGAGCGCGTTAATAATTCACAAAACACGCGATGCTATGCAAATAGGATGCTCATAAATAAAAGAAATTCTCTTCTATCGGAAAGCTGGCAAGCATACGTTTCGCACGAGGCACAATTAAAATTATGAAATGGAATTTATGTTAATACGAATACTTTGGAAGCACAATATTTTATTATACTTGAGCGTTTCTGTACTTCGATAACTCTGCTCGAGTAGTTCTATGCTTCGAAGTATGCAAAGTGTAATGTTCTGCTATACAAATGACCTTATGCTTCAATATCTTTGTACCTCGATGCTCCAATGACCTGGTGACCCCATACCTCGATAGTCCAACGACCCCCCATGACCTAGTACCCAAACATTCGAGCGACTAATCACCCGCGACAACCTTACGACCATAATATTTTACATGCCACTGACCCGGTACTCTAATTCCAGTATGAACCACTGCATACAATTACTCCACTTTTCCTAAATTTCAACACTTTGATACCTAAATGTTCCCATACATCTGTACCTTGGTGTTCAATTATCCCACAATACTTAATCATCCCTAGATATTTGAAGACTAGAACTATCGACAATTATAGCAAATTTATTTATACTAAAGAAATTTATAATTGAATGGACATAAGTGTTTATTTATTGTCTTATAGAAAATTAGGGTAAAGTTTCAAAAATTCAGTCGAGTAAATTTTTCACAAGTTTTATTAGAAATTAGGAGCCACTTTGATCACTTTTTATAGTTCTAGTGTTAATACTCGAGAATAGAAATATGTACCAATGTTGCAGTCTGTTGAGAATACTTAAATATTGTAGCAAATCTGTACTCTAGTATTTAAGTATTATTATCCCAATACATCAGTATCTTGGTACTCAATTATCCCACAATACTTAATCATCCCCAAGTATTTTAACACTAGAACCACCGACAATTATAGCAAATTTATTTATACCAAAGGAATTCAAACAATAGATACGCGAAGTAATTTATAATTCAATGGAAATAAGTGTTTATTCATTCTGTCATAGAAAATTAGGGTAAAGTTTCAAAAATTCAGTCGAGTAAATTTTTTACAAGTTTTATTAGAAATTACGGAGTCACTTTGACCACTTTCTGTAGTTGTAGTATTTAAGTATTAATATCCCAACAATTACTCAATTATCCCACAATACTTAATCGTCCCTAGATATTTTAATACTCGAGTATAGAAATATGCACCAATGTTGCAGTCTGTTAATAATACTTAAATACAGTAGAAAATCTGTACTTTGGTGTTTAAATATGGAATACTCCATTAATCAAATATGTCAGTCTAATTTTTCGTAATACATAGATGCTTTAATATTTAGCAAGTTTAACACACCCCTAACTACACAGACAAGTATTCTAACGATCTAGTGCTACAATGTACTAGCAGTACTTAACTACCACAGTACTTGAATGCTTGAGTGCTTGAATATTCCGAACCCTATAACACAGGGACACGTTAAAGCTCTAACTCCCCTGTGGCTTAACAGACCCGGTAGTCTGACACATTAATACCTCGATGACTTAGTATACGAGCGCCTTAATACCCCCAAAGCGTGCATCAACGTCTCCACCGATACTCCAAATACATTATCGAATACTAATTTCGTGAAATCACGAGGACAAGAACATTCGTAGCTAAAAAATACTCACTCTTTAGTTAAAATCACTCTAATAAAACTCTACCAACGAGTGAAAAAAGTTAGAATTTTTCTACCTTTATCTTTGCTCCGACTTATCTTTTTAATATTTTCTCGCGAGCCTCTGAAACTTTTCGCGTTACATTTACGGAGGGCGTGCTAAATTACATTCCTCCCCCCGTTATAATCGGGTTCTTCGATCGCAATAGAATTTTCCTTGACCCGAAAACGCAATGGATTTTCCTTGACTTTCACACTCCTAATTCGAATCCGTAGAGACCGAGGCGGTTAAATATTTTTCCGAATAAAAATTCAACCGATATCGCGGGAGCGTATTATAGTACGGAGAGAGACCGTGATACGATAAAAGCGTCGTTAAATTTCCGAGAATGCCGGATCGATAGGCCACTTTTGTTCCAGAAGTCAGCCGTTCGTGTCGGTTCGATTGAAACGGCTCTTGGCCGTTCCGAGCGCTTTCAATCCCCGCCGCGCATCGGTCCGCGGGATGACGTTTCGAATTTGTTTGGACGAAAATGAAATTGCTTCGCCCCGTCGGTGAAAACGGTGTCGCGTCATCCGTGAAACAGCCCCGACGTCTCGCATCACCGGGAACAGACGACTTTGTGCTTTTAATTTCACATATTTCACGGTATATCGGCAGAACTGCGTTTGATTTCCCCGACATACACCCCCCCACCCCCCCTCTATTCACGTTTTTCTTCCCACCGTTTCATAACGTGTGACGTGTGAAAGCAACGAGAGGAAAACTTCGTACAAACACCCGGGGGGGCGCCCTATATACAACTCTGTTGTTGTTACTTGTATTCCTGTATTCGTACATTATTATGGGTGTGATTTATAAATGGAATCTTTCCCCGTTTTTGGGGAATTTTTTCCCCCACTCATTTTTGTCAAATCTGTTTATTTACTTCTATGCACGAAGTATAATAGATTTTTCCCCCATTTATATTTTTGCAGATTCTTTTTTCTTTTTTAATTATTAACTGCATTCTTACAAAGTTTCATTCATTAGCATATACTCCAGTATAACATATACACTATATTATTATTGGTGATTCGCTGTAAAGAAAGTTTCCTTTTATATGAGAATTTTTTTTCCATTTATTTTATATCTTTTTTTTTATTACAACTGTGTTATACCTTTTTCTTTACAAAGTAGGTTATTTTATCGTTAACAAGCTAGTTAATTCGTAATTAAAAACCCCCTGTTAGAGGAGTACAATAATTATTAATTAAACAGTAAAGAAAATCCCAAATATACACGTGTTTTACGTGTTTTTTCCCCCCGAGCGGTAACCACCCATCCTGCGCTGCACGCGGCCCGATGATGCTGCACTTTGATGACCGGGACAAGGACCAACGTATCCACCGTACCACGACCGCTCACAAGTATTATTTTTAATTTAAACCCTTAAATATCCCAACGCATGAAAAAATAGATTCCCACCAGCGCAGCGGCTCGATTCATAAGAAGCAATTTTTTTTTTTTTCATTCAGTGAAGCGAATCAC